CGTTTTTGTTTTTGTTTTTGTTTTTCTCAGAACTGGACTGACAGGTTAACGTCGCTTGCTGTCTGTTCATTTATGCTTAGAATATTTCTGTGATACAATGCAGGTTAGACGTTTTATTGGCAATTGACAGAGCCAGGTGAAGTGTTTGCCACTGTTTCCAATCTGTACCCTAAGCCTATGGCATGGTAAATATTTGTTAAATATTGAAAGGACACAGTATCGATGTTCTCATATAACTCTCCACCATGTGGAATAAGACTATTTCCCAAAATGTTCACACTATTTCCTCATTGTTTGCAGCAAAATACAGCTATACTCTGTAAACCACCTTCAACTGCATTTACATGAAATCTACCATTTCTAAAAATTCTTAATAGCAGCAGTAACTTCAAATCTCTTTTTTTCTGCAACCTCATCTTCCTCAGTGCCCCAGCTCTCACTCTCTTAAGTATCCATCAAACTTATTTGTGGGTCAGGGCTTTTATACAGCACCATGCCAGCTTCCCCTGTAAAGCCCAGAACTGCTGCAGAGGCAGAAAGTGGAGTTGGTTTGGGGGAAGTCTCACAGGGGCTGACTGTAATCAGTGTCCCTGCTGCCATGCTGCATCCCTCCCTGTGGATTTATCGGTCTGGAAAAGCTTTGGGACGCTAACATTAGTCAGTGACTGAGATAGAGTCCAGCCTAGAGACCCAGAAATTCAATTCTAGCAATTGGAGCAAAAGCCCAACACAATGTCTCCACTTGATAGTGGCTAATATGCTGACCTGAGGGCTGCTCTGATGCACCTTGCTCACTGAATTTAATGTTTATACCTTCGGTATCTGCCTTACCAGAATAAATTGGAAGCAGTTAGTGGAACTAGGGTTTGCTGAACTCCTGACAGATTTCTGATCAGCTGTTTTGAGACATAAAGAGGTGCCTTAATCCTAAATCGACTAAGAGTACCACTCTTTGACTTTAGCTTGCTCTTCATAGTGCTTCTATAAAAGCAATAGCTTTTATTTCTGTGACTGCTGCAGTCTAATAACCAACAATAAGTGTTTGTTAATGATATCCTGTTTAGTCTACAGCCACAGCTTGTTACAGAACTGCTTCTGCATATTGGGCACCGGCATGAATACCAATGCTCAGAGAAGGATGCGCTGCATTAACTGTTTGTCACTTGTCGACAGTATTAATGCCTTTTCTACCGACATGATAAAGACCGTTTCCCCAGTGGATTTCACTTTAATGTGCTGGAGTGCAATTGTCGCCATGTCATACACAAAGCCACAGTGAGGGAAGTAGCTCATATAGAAACTGTCGAACACATTCCTCAGGCCACTAAACAATGAGAACCGTAGAGGAATGTTTGCACAGAAGCCTTTTATTACATCTTCATTCTTATTCTCTTCATGCTTTTCGTACGGTTTGTCATCCAGACGGCATGATTTTTTAGTTTTTTAATTTTGGCCATTAATGACTTCTGATACAATAGTAGCTGAGTTTCTTTTTCTCCTTGTGCTCCACTTCTAACAAACAAATGAAAAAATAAGTCATTTTTGGGCCTTTGTTATGGCGTAAAAGCTACCCAAAACAACTTTTTGAAAGTCAGAAATAACTGGTACTTCAAAGACTTCTTCTATTAGCTGGGTTTCTGGCCAATCCCTGCCCAGGTGGACCTGTATTTTCCAGTAATTCAGATGGATTTGATGTAGGGCAACTAGCAAACCATTTTAATGGTCAGTCATGAGTTATTGACATAAATAATCAGCTATTTGGAATCTGAATTACACAACTGCCAAGTGGCTTACTATATAATAATAATATTTAGCTGCAACTTCTTTTAGGCATGTACCAACAATAAAGTCTGTAAAGATGCTGGTTGTGTACTTTTATCAACATTTGTGTGTGTGTGTTTACATCAATTTTGACCTTAATTTTGCAATATTTTTGCTTCTGTTTTAATTTGTTTTATTTGTAGGATAAATGTACAATTTCATACACTACAAACTATTACCACCAAAAAGTACACTGAAAATGCAATGTATATATAGAAAGTTATGTCTGAAGCTTGTCAGGATAAAGACTTCTAACAGAAATGTTTTATGTTTTGCATTATTTGATTCTATTTTGACGCAGTCTTTTCTTCCTTGTTTCAGAGTGAACAGTCAGTCACTTGATTAGTGAGCTAAAGAAACAATAACTGTTTCATTAATTGATTAATAATGTATTTTATTTTATTAAATAGAACTTCAAACATCTGCTGATTTCACCTCCAAGATTAGGGGTGGTCAGTCAGAGACTAAGAGCCACATGTTTTACTGTGTTACAGCAAAGAGCCACGCTATACACATGGGCACACATGAACAGCTGGTTGGAGCCAAAGACTGAATGTTCTGAGCACGATTCTTCACACAACGCATTAGATAGCGAACACCTCCACTACACTAACAGGAAACTACAGGAAACAGGGTCGTTTTAATGTGAGCGTGGTGCAGGAACCACTTGACGGTAAAACTGAATGGAAACCTTGAAGGTTCCCATCAGGCTTCCTCTAATCATTCACTTGTTCTCTGTGAGGCAAATTATGCGGTAGACTGTATGGAAGTGTAATGGCAATATGTTGCCGTCAGGATGGATTGTTATGGTAGGGTAGATTTTCTGCACTGGTGCTGGAGTTTCCTCCCTCCTGCACATGGTGGGTAACTGATGTCTTACAAAGCCCGGTGGACGTAGATCACTGTGGTTAATAGGATGTAACGTATGCTGAGACTGAGAGCACTCTTTTGTTTGAGGAGGCTTCAGCACTGTGTGTCAGTGTGCAAGTGTGTATGTACAGTATGTGTGTCTGTGCATAACATGGGTAAGTATATCTGTGATGCTCAGTTAATGCTCAGTATAGCCACAACCATCTACTGGTTTCCGTTAAACAGCTACAGCTTCTATGCCTTGCTTAAGAGCAGCATGAAATAGTATTTATCCAGGTTGGATCTTAAGGGGCACTTCGGAAAAAATCTGTTTTGTTTTTAGTACCAACTCTCTCTTGGTTCTGAAAGTGACATCTCATGTCTGTGCTTAAGTATGCAGTCAAAATGTGTTTAGCCTAGTTGTGCATCAAGTGGGTGGACAAAACTAGTCTGAGTTTGTCCAAAGTTTACCACATTTATCAGCACCTCTAAAGTGCACACATTTTAATGATGATTGAGAAAACAAATAAAAAATTTCATGAAGTTAAATGTTTTCATTAGGCCTGGACTGGAAGCACAAGTGCAGAGAAACGGGCCAGACAAATTTTACGAACAAAGGGGAGGAACCCCAAAGAGAGAACGTGTGGCCTGTGCAAGAAGGAGGATTGAGCTGAGGCTTGGAGTAGGAAGCAGAGTCAGCAGGAAATCCAGGCAGCAACTTGACTGGGGAACAGAGCTTAAGGTGGCTGAGGTTCTGCAGAGGTGAGGCCTGGCAATGAGTGAGTTCAGAGAAAATACCAGAGTGGCAGGAGGACGACAGAGGTAGAAGGCTGGTGAGGCACTGCAGGTAGAGCAAACAGAAAATAGCACGGCAACCATAGAAGACTACAGAATGTGCTGACACCTGGAACGAGACTGACCAGCAGTCTGTTCTGCCAATGAATGGAGAATTGAGTCAGGCTTTTATAGCAAAGGACAATAAGTAATGGTTGACCTGTGCAGCTGTGTCTACTCCTGCAGTAAAAAAAAAAACACCCACTCATTGACGAGACAGGGAGAGGGAGAAAGTCTGCAACTGAAGGGCAGAGGGGCATGACAGCTTTAGATTAAAAATACTGAAATGACATTTGATGATTATTTTTTCAACGTTTAACGGGTTCTACAGGATTTTAAATATAAATGTCAATATGCTACACTTTGTTTCAGTCACCAATGTATCTTTTAAATGTTTGCCAGGCCTGTTGAATAGAGGCGTAGGATAGGTAAATACAGGTTAGGCTCTATTATTTTAATCCCCAAAACAGATTATGCAGCAGTGGTGGAAACTTTCTGACCACAGAAGAGAAAGGTGTTGATGCTGTGTACCCTGCGTTTGTTTCATCTGAAGCGTGGTGATGTGGAGGATAGCTGTAGCAGATCTTCAGAGCGAGGGCAGTGGACATGGATGAGTCTTTTAACTGTTAGCCGAAGGCAGCGGTGCATGGCTGCTGCTGCTGCTGCTGAGTTGTTGGTCATTTCACGCCTGTCTGGGCTTCCTGGAGTGCTGCATGAAAAGCAAAGTAGATGAAAAACTTTCTGGGGAGAACAGGCCCAGTGTGATGTGTTTTCGGTGTTCAATCACCAAATCTTCTGTAAAAATTGGCAGCAGGAGGACTTCTTTTTGTGATGCCAGAAGTCCTGCATGTTGTTGTCAGCCACACGAAGGTTGTGATTAAGTTCCAACATTGCATAGGTTAAAATGGTATATAACGTCATGGGAAGTCAGAGACCCAAATGCAGATAGAAAACACAGCACACCAGACTTAAGTAGAAAGGAAATTTGACAAAGGATATCAAAGCAAATGAGAAAGGAATAAGGAGTGGGGGCACTCTAAGTGGGGAAGAAATAACGACTAGTGATGGAGCTGAACAGAGAAACTGACTCAGAACTATAAGAAACACTGAATACAAACAACTTGCAGGCCACATTTCAATAATTTCCCAGGTCTGGGATAAATAAAGTATATTCTATTCTATTCGATCTTGACAGCAGCTTTGTGCCTCTGCCCTCATCCACTTTCCATCTTCATAAACCTGCTTAAATATGTCTATTGAACTCCTGTCATACCTGTAATTCTACTTCACATGTTTTATCTCTCTTTCTCATTTTGCCCTGATGTGTTTCCTTTTTGGTTTTCTTGTACTCTCCTATTATTAACTCAATGTCCTCTCTGCATTGACTTAATTTAAAGTTTGATCTAAAGTAGTCTAATTTGATTTCTTTTTAGCTTCCTGCATGTTGTCATGGTTCTGATTGTGTTCATTTACACTCTGTATTCTCTCCTGTCCAGTTTTCTAATGGCTCAACATGCGACGGCGGGACGGCGCTACTTGCGAGCATTTGTTAGCGGATTCTTCGTTGCAGTTCCCGTCACCGTCACTGTCCTCGATCGATGTGCTTATGTGGCGCGAGTGGAGGGAGCGTCAATGCAGGTGAGACGTTACAACCACTCTACCACTCTAACCTCTGTTATACTACTTGAACAGACAAATTAAGACTACAGACCAGGCTCAAACATCTGCACACAGCAAGAGTTGTGAGTGTTTGTTCTTGCCCATCTACCTTTATGTTGCTTACTTTGAATTTCACACCTTTAGAGTGATCACATTTTGGAAACATTTTTTCTGGTCTTCACTTTGTCATACCCCTTCAAAGGGCTGTTTGAAGGGTTAAGAGTTGGTTTTAGGTTAGAATTAGATATGAGTCAGGGTTAGGGACCTTAGTGACTGACAGGTAACCTGTATCCATCCATCCATCCATCCATCCATCCATCCATCCATCCAGTGGCAAGGCTAACCAGGGCAGTCTAGACATCCATCTCCCCAGTAACATTTTCCTGTTCCTTCTTGGGGATCTCAAAGCATTCCCAGGCCAGATAAGATAGGAAACCCTTACCACGGGTTCAGGGTCTATCTTAGGGGGTTCTCCCAGCTGGATGTGACCAGAAAACCTCAAAAGAAAGGCACCCAGGAGGTTCTTACATCAGGTACCAAAGCGCTACAGCTGGCTGCTTTTGACACGAAGGAGCAGGGGTTCTGTTTTGACCTCCCTCTAGATCTCCAAGCTCCTTACCCTGTTTCAAAGGCTGAGCCCAGCCACTATATAGGAGAACAACACCCACATTAGTGCTGATGCTGCACCAACTCACACTGCATTTTCTGTCACTCAAGAATAAGATCCAGTAATCAGTGTGAGGACAATTGGAGGGTAGATACAGGTAGACAGATAAGCTCACATGTCATCAATCATCCAGGTCACACAGGCTGATAAACATCTCCAAAGCAATTACTAGTTCAAAAGGTACAAGATGAAAAATGTTTCTTGGCCCTGCATGCTATGTGGCCATGATCCTTGCACTGAAAGAACTGCAAGGTGGTTTTGTTTGTAACTACAGCATCCCATCAAATTATTATGATGGTATAATCGGTCGGTCGTTTTAAACACATTCCCGATTTTAGTTTGTATTTTGCATTTTGACTTTACTCGTTCAAAAATACAGCACGTAATATAGTAAAATACAACTGCAAGGGAAGCTGATGAAGAGTCCAGCTCTAACTAACAAACCAAACCTGCAGGCTGACAGCACTCACAGGGATATTTATCTTAGGGGTGACAGAGAAGAGATATTGTATCAATTACTCTGGCAAGCGTGAAATGGTTTGTGTGCATCCCGTTTAATGAAATGTCGTTGTGTGTGTTCACCGATGTGAACAGGTTTTGTCACACGTGGGTCCTGACGAAGTGACACAAACCAAGTTGTAAGAATAATGACTTAGTTGTTGTTGTTGTAGTCCGATGAGTTCGGAAAATGGGGGGCATCCCAGACAAGCATGTGATGGAGCTGTCACGGAGGACACAGTTGTTTGGAGCTTCTTTTTCTTGCTGTGAAGAAAATGTTTGGTTTAAAGAAAAGTTTGTCAATTTCAAACTAGTTTCATTGAGCAGTTTATTAGATGCACCATTCTAATCTAGGGTCGGGCCTCCCATTGCTATTAAACAACCTCAGTTCTTCATGGCCTGGGTTTCCACAAGGTGTTCAACATTCCGCATTACACTGAGGTTCTTCTCCATGTTGACATGATTACATCACGACAGCTTTGTTGCAATGTCATGCTGCCAGTGTTCTACCACATCCCAAAATTGTTCTGTAGGATTTACATCTGGTCATAACTAGAGAGGCTTCATAAAAGCAGTTTGAATAAACATTGATTCTGTAACATGGTTCATTATCTTGCTGGACGTAGCCATCTGCAGAAAACCCAAATTCATGTGACCAGGCTACATTTTTCCATTCTTCACCTGGTTTTGTAGTCCAGTTTCCTCAAGGTTGGACATGTATGGGTTTCTAAGATGCTTCTCTGCTCAGTACAGCTGTGATGAATGGTTACTTTTACAGTAACCTTTCTGTCAGCTCCACCAAGTACTGCCCTGACCTCTCTCACCAACAAGGCATTTCTGTCTGCAGTATCACCACTAACTGGAAGCATTTTGTGTTTTGCACTGTTTGGAGTGAACTGTAGAGACTTGTCTGGCACCGACAATCATCCCTGGGTCACATCTTTTTCACCATTTTGACACAAACCAAGTTATGCTCTGAATTGAGGGCCTGAGCGATTGGCAAATACTGTAAAATACTGTGCCATAAATATACCCTATGTTGGACTGCAGTTGTATCACCACACTGTTTCAAAAGTACCTCAGAGATATCTGCAAGGGAGTAGGTTTGATTTTGACATTGGTGGGGACACAAAAGTGCTCAAAGGCAGCACTCTTGAAAGTTGACTTTTTTTTTTTTAATTTGCAAGAATAATTTGACGTCATGTAGAGCTGATCAAACAAGCAGGGATACAATGATAATAGAGTTGGATGGTACAGTTATTGCAAAAAAGGCCTTTACTTTTAATTATTACGTGTAATTTATTTGCCAAAAATATGGATGTATAAGATCCCTCGACCTTGCACAGTTTTCTTCCTTTTGTCAAATTATATTTCCGTGTTTTGGGAAACTTTGGCACTAATACGCTGTGGCCAACCCTCATTCAGCATGTATTTGTTCTGTATTTCAGGAAAGAGGTATGTACTTTCTAATATCCTCAGCAAACCAGGTCCAATACAGTACTTGTAGTTTGGTATTCATTAAGTTAAAGTTCATAATTCATAAAGTCAGTGGTTCGCACTGTCGCCTCATAGCTCGATGGTTCTGGGTTGAAATCGCAGCCTGGGATCTAGTTTGCATGTTTTCTCTGTGTCTGCGTGGGTTCTCATTGGGTGCTCCGGATTCCTCCTATAATCCAAAGACATGTTGAGGTTAATCGGTGATTCTAAATTGTCCTTCGGTGTGAATGTGAGTGTGCTTGGTTGTCTGTCTCTATGTGTAGCCCTGTGATGGACTGGTGACCTGTCCAGGGTGTCCCCTGTCTTCACCCTAAGTCAGCTGAGATAGGCTCCAGCCCCCCTGTCACCCCACAGAGGATAAAGCGATGGGTTTCATGGATGGGTTTAAGTTAAATTATTACTTTGTGTGCACAGGAGACACACAGCTCCTCTGGTGAAAATCTCTTTTTTATTTATTTATTTATTTCCTCTTCAATGTGTCCATGTGTTTTTTTTAAATGCTGAAAGATGCATTATAAGAAGGGCTGGGACTTCAACTTACAGAATTACAGAAAAAAATAACGTATTAAATAAATTAATGCATTTAATCACACCTTTCACAGTTTTTAGCCCACAGTGAGTAAAATGGGCCACAACAGGAGCAAAAAATTGTCCAATAACTGCATGAAGTTTTTTGAGTTCACTGATAAATAAAATTTGTACTGTAGCTTTTTTTTTTTTTTGCCTCCAAACTTTACGGTTAGGGCCTGAAACTTTTGCACAGTGTATTGATAATGTTATATAAATTGTATTTCTGTTTTTGTGGGTTTGTTTATGCACAGCCATTCCTCAACCCAGAAGGGGGGTCGGAGTGTGACGTTGTCTTGCTGAATCGCTGGAGTGTGAGGAACTACCAAGTCCAACGAGGTGACATTGTCTCTGTTGTGTAAGTACAGGAAACAAACAATACACAGCACAACACATGGAATTAGAACTGATGGGAAGTTAAATAATGATAATTTTGGAAGAATGTAAAAAAAAAAAAAACAAAACAAAACAAAAAAACATTCACCTAAATACCCTCAGATATATCTGTTAGAAATTTGTGTTTTTCTGTGGATGGAAATTTAGCTGGACAGTGGACTAGTAATTTCTCTCCCCCCTTGAAACAGAGAATATTTCACTACTCAACTGTTCAACAACCTCCACAATTCCACAACAAAGCGACTGCACTTGGGCTTATTCAGAGCACCTTAGACTGATACTGCAGAATGTATTATCAATATGTAAGTTCCATCCTTTCATATACACACAAATAGATGAACAAAATGCTCTGCAAGAAAAACAATCAGCTAGTAAACAGCTGTCAAGTGCAAGTGAAAACATACTAAATATCAGTTGGTGAAATAAAATGAACCTCAAAGAAATCTTACAAGTTAGAGCAGTGTCATTAACAGCAGCATTTTTTAAATGTTCATGAGCACTCGTGTAAAATGTGCTAGACATGTACTTTTTTTGGGTGGTCTTTTTAAATGGCAGCTGCATTTCTAAGCTGAGTTTTTTAAGAACAACAGGACTGTTTTTTATCTGACATTTCATTCCTACAAGGAGATTATTAAATTAAGTTGTATTTTTCAAAGCTGAACTTGCTATAACAGCTGTATTGTGATGAAACTTGTGGTGATTTTAATGTGGAACCTATGTTTTTGCTTTTTATGCCTTCGTGCCAGTACAGGTGCGACTGGGCTATATATTTCCGAGTTATCATTTACTTGAACCCAAGAATGATCTGATTAGAATTTGGTGCTCAAAGGTCACTGTGGTCTCGCTAATGATCCCACCGATAACCCAGCCATAACTTAAGAATCTGTACACTAATTATGTCAAAACTTCATACAAATATCTAACAATAAAAATGATGAAGTGATGACATTTTATAATCCTAATCGGATCCTGAAAGCTGACTTCTAGCTCTGTCTTGTAGCTGAATTCAAGAAGTGGAAAGTAATGATCCAGCAGAGAAGCATCACTTAGCTGGAAAGGCACTAGGAAATACATTGAACTAAAAAAAGGGAAATAAAAACACAAGTTCTTCAAAGTTTATCTGTGTGCAGAAGCACGCTGACATTTAGATTCAACCCGCTGTCCTTGTGGCATTATCAGCTGTGTGCACCTTAACCCTCCTCCTTCTCGGTGCCTTTTTGTGTGTTTGTCTTTGAATCCTAATCCCACCTGTTTAACCGGCAGGATTTGAAGAAAGTATGTTTTTTCTCAAAGTAACAGACAGTAAATCCTTTACCCTTGAAACAGATCTCTATTGCCTTGCCTGTTTGCTGAGGATTTTGTTTACACTGTAGGGGAGTCTGACTCCTGCTTATAATTGGTATTCATTTCAAAGGAGAATTGTTCAAGGGAATATGCCAGTCCATAGAGTAATATCCTATTTACAGAATGCCTGATATTTTCAGTGCATGTTGGCTTAGGAAAATGATTGTCCCTGTTTTTTTTTTTTTTTTAGAGAGCTCATTGCTGCCATGGGTGTTTGTTATGCCCTCAGCGTAGACCATTACAAACCTGACTGATTTTATGCTTGTCTATGAAAAGAGCCATTTGCCTCTGAGCGGTCTCAGAACTTATTTCTGCAAAACATCATTTTCTTGAGGATGGGGAAGAAATATTTCTCATAGGTTATAAATCTGTGTCACGAGAGATAAATAGATTCCTCGGCTGTTGTTCACTTGGCTCTTGTTTTCGTTGAAGGCTTTGATGACAGCCATCTTGGATCAGTAGGGGATAGTTGTAAAGTTTCATAGTCTATAAATATTCATCAGAAACTCCGCAGTCATGGAAACCTTCAAAAGAGCCAAGCTTCATTCTTCTGTGGAACTGTCCTATTGCTGTTTGCTTTGAGCTGAGTATCTTACAGACAGTGGAAAAACATCTGCAACTCAATGCTACTGTATCACTTTCTTGCTGTTACTGACTCAGTGTCTAGATCAAGGCATAAACACTGCCAGGGTTAAAAGTTTAAATCCTTCTTGGTCCTGCAGAGGGAAAGGTGACCACTGAGAGGGTTCTGGTTTTAAACCTCAACCTTATGACATAAGCTCTCTAAATGGCAAAAAACACTTTGTATTGATGTTCAGATAATGCCTATAAATGGTCCATAAAATGTCTCACCTTTTGAATGGATGTGAGGAAATAGTTGTGTGAAACTTCAAATACATCTCAATCCAGTGGGGCATTCCTGAATTCAGCCTATCTGACTGTGGATCACAGTTTGTCTTTGATTATTGGGATGAAAGCATATCTGATTCAGACGTCAAGCTCAGTTACATACCTGGCACCCATTAATCTACTTTAGATGTCATACTGAAAACCCAGACACCTTCTAAACAAATCCAGTGCATTGCCTTTGGTTGGCTTCCACTGAGGGGGGGGGGTGGAGTGTAGCAACTGCTGTTGGAATAACATCACCGCCCACATTCATTCAGATTAGTCTCAGTTACCACCCACAATACACCAATAATCCAATCATCCAATCCTAACTTAGCCCTCACACATTGCAACTAACTTCCAGGAAGACCTATTAGTGTGGGCCTCAGAGACGCCAATGTGTGAGACAGGGAAGCAGAAGAACACCAGCTTCACCTCAGGATTTGATTGTGTGTAAAAGTCAACATTATTGCTAAAGCAGCTGCCGGCCTGACTGACTGGTCAATAGCACAGTGGGTCCCTGTTGTAAATATTGTGTATACTTTCACTGTTGAGTTGTTGCACTGTGCGGAGAGACGCTGCATGATTTTGTAGAATTTCTGATGTACTGTTTTAGTTTTAGGTGTTGGGTGAATTTTTGAATTTTGACTTGATTTGTGATTGGAACTGGGTTGAACTGAACTGTCGGGAAACCGAAGTGGACCATTACCTGACTGTTGGACTCAGAATTGCAACACACACAGAGAGACACACACACACACACACACACACACACACGGCTTGCTGGTTTGGTTTTGTACAAACATTTTTAAATGCTGATTGAGTAACAGTCTGTTTGATTGTGCATTGTTTTTGTTCTGTGTTGTTTTGGCAGAATTTGTTTCCCTGTCTGGTCACTTACCTAGTTTTGAACAGCTTAACAAATTATTTTGTTGTAGTTTTCTTATTTGTCAGGTGGGACTCTGACTGGCATCATTAATCAGTGTCAAACCCACTACAAACTTAACGTACAAAATCCTTCAAACTACAGCTTTCAGCAGCAGCCCTGCTATGAATCTTCCATTTATGAAGGTTATGCATTGTAGTTCACAGAGGTGTTGATTCAAATGTATAAATTAGGGTTCAGGTTTCATTCCTACCTCTGTATTCTTTAGGTTCTGAGCTAAATTGCGAGCTAAAAGGCTTCTTATACGTTAAGCCCTGACAGTGTTCAGACTTCTGCAGCCCTGTGAGCACGTTTTCATCAACAGTAAATTTTATTTGATGCTATTCTGTCATTCACATTTAAAAAAAAGGGTGCATTTTGGATTCAATACAGTGTTTAACAGTAGTGAGTAGTCGTTTTTTTCAGTTGTACTGGATTCGAGCAAGATAATTTAACTGACCAAGTCATAGTTTCAGCTTTTTCATTCTTCAGAAACTCTTGTGTGATTTTAGAAGTGTGCTTTGGGTGTTTATCATGTTGGAAAGTTCCTCTTCTGCCAAGCTTTTGAAGACTGGGAGCAATCATGTCACCCAGTACTTTGGTGTTTCGACAGGAATAAATGGTGCCACCGTGGAATGTCATTTCCAAAACTTTTCGCATTCATTGCAGCCTCACATCATCACTCTCCAACTCACTGTCAGAGCTGTATTTTCACTGTGGTGTCCTGGCCAGGTTTTTGATAAACATGCTTGACCCCGTCTGGGCTGAACACATTTATCTTTGTCTGAACGAAAAATATGCACACAAGATTTATTGGATTTTCTTGCGTAGTTGGTCTCTAATCTTCATGCATCCTTTTCCACCATTGTGAAGTCTCACTATCAGAGTTTCTACTTTGGAGCTTGACTTTTCAACATCGTCTTTCTGCAGTATTAGTTCGTCATTGTTCATAAGAGGAAGTACTTTTCTGTTCAGCTTAGAAATAATACAATTGTTGAGAGGTGGTTCAGGTATGTATCATTTGATGCTAAGCGTTATTGCACAGGAATGTATTCACTTCTGTTATATACTGTAAATATATCTTGCAGTTACTCATTATTTAATCCCTGTTCTCTGATTACATGACTGAGGTGTTAACACAGAAATGATCTTTTGTATGAATGGTTGAATGAATTCTGGATGAATTCATCTCTAAATGAAGCAAACCACTGTTAGTTATTTCTTGTGTCTCTTAAGGCCACACAGACTTCTAATTTGTTTTTGCTAAATGAATATTAACATAGGCTGCTGTAGCTTTGTTAGAGTCTCTTAACAATTTAAAAAAAAAAAAAAAAAAAAAGAATCTTGCTTCAGATAGCCTTAAAGTTTTATATGTGTCCAATGGAGGTAGTATCTAAGGAGCAGTTGTTGTCCAAAGAATTTTGAGGGGAGCAGTGGCTTGCAGAACCATTCAGCATGGCATGCCCTGTAAACCATTTGGGTTTTCAAGTAGTTGTGCAATAGCTGGTTAGGCTTGATGTTAAAACTTTTCATTGTCCCTGGCATAAACCAGCCTTTTCTTGACATTGTGAAGGTGTATTTTTGTATTTACTGTCCTGACAAAGAGCTTATCTAACCTAAAGATGAAAACTAAATGTTGCATGTTGACAGAAGCAGATTTCAAAGTGCTCTTAAACACAAAGTTAAAGAAATAACACAAATAAAATGACGAGAAGAGACAGCACACAGAATGGATTGAACCAATTCAGTACAAACAAATTAACCTGACTGTACTTTCCCACAGCACTGACATTCAGCAGGTAAAC